ATTCATCAAACTGTGTTGTCCACATCCATTTTCCATTCTCAATACTCCATTTTCTATACTATAGTTTACAGAGCTAATCTTCTTACTCCATTCTCATTACCATTCTTCATTCTGCATACTCCATACTCCAAACTGTATCCTTTTATTCATTTCCAACATCCTTTGTTCATTATTCATATACCATTCTCCATACTCTAAACTTCATACTCTTTGTCAATATTGTACACTACATTCTCCATTTTCCTTTCTCCATAATCTACTTCCCAAATTTCATTTTCCATTTGCATGTTCCATTTTTTTCCATATATAAAAAATTAACCTCAACCCTTTATTTCCACACATAAAAATAACTTGAAAGGATCTATGAACCTAAATATGAAAGACTAAAACTATAAAACTTTAAGAAGAAATTATAAGGGAAAATGTTTATGAATTTAGAGTAGGCAAGAACTTCTTAGGATACAAAAAACATGATGTATAAATGAAAAAATTTGATAGATGAGATTCCATAAAAATTTAGAACTTTAGATGACATCATTAAAATGAAAAGTAGTCCTTGAACAGACCATATTTACAATGCATATAACCTATGACCAGAATATATAAAGAACTCTTTCAGCTCATTAATAGACAACCCAATTAAAAAGTAGACACAAGAAGATGATAAATAGCCAGTACAGCACAAGAAAAGGTGTGCAACTCTAGAATCAGAAAAATACTAATCAGTACAATAACAAGATTGAGTTATACACTCATTAGGGAGATGAAGTTAAAAGTTTTAAAAGCCTTGTCATGACTTTTTCTTTTTGTTGGATTCTCCCCCATTGCGTTTAATTTGTTACGCCCAATGAATTCATTCTGCTGGGCTTCCTGGGGTTGTGATCCTCATTGTCTTTTCCTAGGATATTGTCTAAAATTTTTTGGAGTGCTTGTTTGGTATTCATGAAGTTCCTAAGTGCTCTTTATCATGAAAGCATCTTATTTCTCCATCAATTTTGAAAGATAGTTTTGCAGGGCACATCAGTCTGGGTTGGAGGCTATTTTCCTTTAGAGCTTGAAATATGTCACTCCAAGCTCTTCTTGCCTTGAGGGTTTGTGTTGAGAAGTCTGCTGTGATGCTGATGGGCTTTCCTTTGTATGTGATTTGTTTCTTTTCTCTCACTGCTTTGTTCTTCTGTTGGGTTTCTGGAATCCTAACAATTATATGCCTATGTGTAGACTTTTTTGATCAAGGCTAGTTGGAGTCCTATATGCCTCACTTATGTGTATGTCAAGTTCTTTTCCCCTGCTTGGGAAGTTTTCTGCCGTCACTTCTGTGACCAGTTTTTTTATGTCATCTGCACTATCTCCTCTTTCTTCATTGACTCCAATCAGTCTTATGTTATTCTTTGCATCGTCTAGCAGCTACTGGATCGATTTCTCGTGTTCCCTTACAATTTTAAAGCAATTTTTCTTTTCCTGGTCACTAATTGCAATCTTATCTTCTATATCTGAAATTCTGTCCTCACATTGGTTCATTCTGCTGTGTAGACTTTCAATGGAGTTCTTAATCTCCTGGAAATCTGTTTGTATCTATTTTATGGATTCCATTTTTTCCCTATGTTGGGATTCCATCATGTTCCTCAGCTCCTCTATTTATTTTTACCTGTGTCCTCTCTAACTTTATTAATCAGGTCTTGCACTATGGGCACAATCTCTGGTGTTACCTGAGAAATTATTTCTGATTTCATTTTTTCCAGATCCTCTTTTGTTGCCAGTTCAGGGAGTCCAGGTGGTTGAGTATCAGATTGTTCTGTCTTGTTGCTCTTTGGGGTTGCTGTAGGTGATCTGGAAGTCTGTTTTTGAGGCTTGTTTATGTGTCTTCTCATTTCAACGGGGGTGTGTGTGGGGTACTGCTGGTGCCCGCGGCTCACCTCCTCTGCCCTGGGAGTGGTGGAATGGCAGCTTGCATGTTCCATTTTTAATTCTCCACACTCCATTGTCCATTCTTCTTATACCATAGTCCATTCTCCATGCCATTGTCCATTCTCCATATCTGTTGTCCAGTCTCGATATAACAACATACTCAACCCATACTCATTTCATACTACAACTCATACTACAACCCATACTCAACTTCATTCTTCATAACCATTCACCATACAACATTCCCCACACTCCATTCATATTCCACATTCTCCTTTCACTATACTCTATTCTTCAATTTACATATTCCATATTTCATTTTCTATGTTCCCTTCTCTGTTCTCCATACTCTATTCTCCATTTGCATACTTTATTTTCATATTCCATCTTTCTCCATTTTTCATTCAACTATATATTCCATACTTGTTTGTCCATGTTGTGTACTATATTATCCATTCTCCCCTCTACACACTTCATTCTCCATTCTTCTTACTTCATCTGATATGTTGTATTGTCCATACTCCATACACCATGCTCCATTTTCTTCTTCCGTTCTTCGCTCCATTCTTCATGTTCTGTATTGCATTAGTCACTCCCCATTCTTTACAGCCCATTCTACATTCTTCATATTTATTTCTTCATATTACATTCTACTAGCTTCTATTTATTCTATACTCTATTAAATGTAGTTAATCTCCATTTTCCATATTTGAGTCCATTTTTTATACTCTGTTCTACATATTTCCTATATTCCATTTTCTTCACAAGTCTTCATTTAACTCCATATTCTATACCCTATTTTTAAAAAAACAAGGCCTCACCATATTGCTGAGGCTAGCCTTGAACTCAAAATCCTCCTGCCTCACCCTTTTGAATAGTTGTGACTACAGTACCCCAGTCTTTATAAGCTGTACTTCATTTTCTGTACTTTATATCCCATACTCCATTCTCCACACTTCTTTCTCTATCCCTTATTATCTCTGCTCCACACACTATTCTCCTTATTCTATATTCCTTTTTCAATTTTCCACTTGCCATTCTCAATATCCTTGTGTCCATATTCTATACTGCATTCTCCATACTCCAATCTCTAGCTTGACTTTGCATGCACTGTGCTCTATTGTCCATATTCTAATTTCTATTCTTCATGAACTATTCTTCATTTTCCATACTTCATACTTACTCTCTATACTTCATATGCCATTCTCCATATTCTGCCATAATCCTAAATTCTCCATATTGCATTCTTCATAGTTCATATACCATTGTCCATTCTCTTCATAGTCCATATACCATTCTCTACATTCTGTTCTCTACACTGTATTCTCTATTCATTATATCCATACTCTAATCTACATATTTTATGTACTATTCTCTGTCATCTATCCTCTGTACTCTACACTTTCTTGCCCATATTCTATGCTCTTTTCTCCAAACTTCATCCTCTCTCTCCATACCCCATACTTTATTTTTCATAATCCATACTTCAGACAATATTCAATTTCTCACCCCTTTCCCCCTGTTCTATATTTAATTCTACACTGTGCTCGGCAGCACATATACTAAAATATTTAATTCTACATTCTCCTTTTACCCCATGTTGTATATTTTATTCTTTATACTCCATTCTTCATATATATGTTCTTTTTGGGGGGGGTACTGGGGATTGAACTTGGGACCTTGTGCTTGTGAGGCAGGAGCTGGAACCACTGAGCTAAATCCCTGGCCTATATTATATATATTCTTCCCATACCTCATCCTCCACTTCAATTTTAATTATCCATTATACAAATACACTCTGTGCTCCATACTTTATCTCCATACTCTATATACCATACTTCATTCTCCTTACTCTATACTCCAGTCTATATATTCCATGGCCCACTTGGTCTACTGTATTTTTCACCTTCCATACTATGTTTATGCCAATGCTCCATACTGCTCCCATTATTCTATATTCCATTCTCCATTATTTATTTTTCATATACCATACTCCTTTCCTCAAACTCCATTCTCCATATTCTGTACTCTATATTCCATTCTTCATGTTCTATATTCTATCCTTCATTATTCATACTTCACAATCTGTTCTCCGTACTCCATATTCTATATTCAAGTCTCCATACTCCATTCTTCATACGCATATCCCATATTTCATACTTATACTCCATTATGCACCCTTGCACCCTTCTCTACTGGATACTGTTTTTTTTCATTTCTCTTTGTATTCCAATGTCTCTTTTCTACCCTACTTTTCCACTAAAAATCTGGCTTTCCTATTGTCCCAGTGCACACCTCTCTCCCACATGTACCTTTACCACCAATATGTTAGCCATGATAATTTTGCCTTTCAATGCTGGGGATAAAATCTCCATGCTCCTCCAAAGGGCATCCATCCATTAGAGAATAAGTCCAAGCTGTGCAACATTTTCTCATTTGAAATCCTTCCAAAAGCTGGAATTTCTGCCATCCTCAAACAAGCAAACCAATGGACAGCCCCAAGTGACTGTCCTCATTCACTGTCTGGACTTCCCTCTGCTCACCCTCCTTTGAACACACTCCAGCAAGGCCCATCACTTCCACATCAGAGTAACCGCTTATATCAAGCTCAGAAGCAACCCCCCCAGGCTACAATATTCAAGGTGCCACACAGTTCAGGCCCCCCTTTTACTTGAATGATCAACCATACTTAGGATCATGGCCATTGTCTCCTTTTTAAACCACTTCCTACCTCAGGGCCTTTGCACTATCATTCCCAACATCCCTGGGACTCTCTTTCCCCAGATATCTGCATGGCTTCTTTCCACATCTCATTTTTATTTAGTCAGTATTTGATGAATGAAGTCTCACTAGGAATTCTCATTTCTCAGTTGGGTGGAGGGTTTCAAAAGCCAAAACTTGAGCTGTTGTTGTAAGCTGGGTTTTTAGAAGGTGACGCTGAGGTGGAGTCAGGCAAGTGCAAGGTTAACTGGAGAGTAACATCCATGAGAGAAAATAGAAGCACGCTTGGAAGAGGTAGCCCTCACACCTCCATACCCACAAAAGCAAAGCCACAGGAGCAAGGGCTGTGTACTAGAGAAATATTTCTTTCGCAGACATGATGGATCCTTGTGGCACCACCTGACTCAGTCCTTGGCTGGAACCAGCTCAGGTACAGCTTCACCTCAGCAGGGCACAAGACGGGGCTTGAGGGACAAACCACAGCCCTCATCACTAGAGTACAACTTGGGCTGGGAGCAACAACTGCCTCTTCCAGCACCATCCCACATGCCCTTATTCCTCACCTGCGTGGCTTGGGCCCCACAGCATGCTAAGGCTCCTGAACTTTTCAGTTCATGGTTATACCTAGGTGGTCAGTACCAAGGGGGACTAAAAAGGTCGCCTGTATTCTGAACATGTCCCTCCCAGGTCACATTAGAAAGCAGCATCCCTGCCTCCGCCTGATGACCAGGGTCAGTTGTTCCAACAAGACACTGTCTCTTCTTGCTTACTGGTCCCACGGGCATTGGAACCCAACAGGCCCAGATGGAAGCCACACCGGGCTGTCTGAAGGAATCCTTACTTGTCTTCTGTTAGGGGCCTATTTCTATATCAGGGCCCACCAAGCTCTTTGTCATTTTCTTTCTTGGAGGGGGAGTGAGATGCAGCCATTGCTTTTTTATTTGCATATCCAAATATATCCCTCACTACTGGGCCCCTAAAACTTTTCTCAAGTCAAGTGCCTGAATCCTTGCAGGATTCTGAGCATGTCTTGAGGATTCTAGCATGCTAACTGCCTCTTACTTACCTGCCTGCTTAGCATGAGGCCATCATATTCAGCTAAGGGACAACTGGATCAGTATGCTGGACTACATGTCTGGATTGCTCCTGACTATGTTTTTGTTTAATTGCGGTAAAATTTCCATGACAAGGTCTATCATACTAACCATTTTAAGCACACAAATCAGCGGCATTAAAAACATTCATACAGTTGTGAAAAAATCACCACACCACCCAGCTCCAGGACTCTTTCATCCTTTCAGACTGAAACTCCATCCTCATTAGACACCAACTCCCCATTCCACCCCCACCCTCTGGAACCTCTGTCCTACTTTATGTATGTCTCTATGGACCTGACAACTCTAGGTACCTCATATGAGTGAAATCATGTAAGAATTGTCTTTTGTTCTTGGATTATTTCACTGAGTATAAAGTCTTCAAGGTCCATCCATGCTGGGGCATATGTCAGAGTTCTTCATTTTTATGATGGAGTAATGTTCCATCATCTGGATGAACCATGGTTTATTCATCCATTCATTTCTCCATGGACATTTGTTTCCTTCTACTTTTTGGCTGATGTGAATGGTGCTATTATGGACACAGGTGTGCAAATACCGGTTTGAGATCTTGCTTTCAATTCTTCTAGGTCATATGGTAACTCTATCTTTAATTTTTAAGGGAATGTTATACTGTTTTCCACAACATCTGCACTATTACACATTCCCTTAATAGTGCACAATGGTTTTGGTCTCTCTACATCTTTGTTACTTTGTGTTTTTATGGTAGGAGCCATCCTCATGGATGTGAAGTGGTATTTCCTTGCAGTGCTGATGTGCATTTCCCTAATGACAACTGGTGTTGAGAACCTTTTCATATGCTTGTTTGCCATCTGTGTATCTTTTCTGGGGAAATGTGTATTTAAGTCCTTTACCTATTTTTAAATGGAGCTTTCTTTTGGTTAAGTTGTAGGAGTTCCTTGTAGTTGTAGAACTCCCCATAGGAGTTCTATTAGCTCCTTGCTATATTTGCCAATATTTTCTCTCAGGCTATAGATTGTCTTTCTATTTCTATCTTTCAATAGACAGTGGTAGATGCCCCAGAAGCAGCTGGAAAAACTGAATGCCTATTCTTGGTAACTGTGGGGATATGGGCTATGGCTGGTCCTCCTCTAGGCAGCATAGGAAAAAGTATATGACTCCCTCCTCTAGACCTGTAGGACTTTAGGAGTCAGAGTTGAAATGGCCTTTGGAGACAACCTGGAGTTCACAAGTGAATAACTATGACCAGCAGATTAATAGTTGGACATATAGAGCAGTGTATAATATTTGTTGCTAGGTGCCATCTCTCACTGAGAGCAGCAACTTTAATTTCAAGTCCTGATCAATGGCAGCAGGGGAGGATCTTATCCTTATTCTGATGGGACAAGTTATAATTCTGCACTATGTGAACCTACAATACATGATCACATTTTAAAAAACACAGGAACTATATGAATTATATTGTGAAATAGGCTCCATTTTTTAGCTCTGTAAAATTTGTGCAGAGAATGACAAAGATGTTGGGATTGAACCCTGTTGGCACTTGATATGCACCTCTTACCTGACAACATGGCAGGAGCCAGATGACCAGGGCTACACTTTCTGTCGTTGCAAGATAAAAGGAACTGAGCCCATAATCATGGGCCCCCTTAATCCCACCAATGCTTGAGGATGACAGTGATGTGAAAGCATAACTCATCAGTCACATCACCAGGATCTTCTTTCCTTTTTCAGAGAAGAAAGCCCAGCCAGATCCCTTCTGGGAAGATCCCACATCTCAGCTTGCAGCCATTGCCTTCTCACTCGGGCATAGTCTAGTCTCCCTGTGGTAGGCCAACTAGTTTGCCAAAGTCTTCTTGCATGAGAAAACACTTAAGTCACTCCCAGCACCTTGTGGTAAAGGAAATTTGGCTTCCACCCACACCAGTACTGGGCCTGATGAGTCAGAGAAGGTCTGGCAGTTTTCCCTATTGTCCCACTTGAGAGTTCACTCTTGGCTGAGAGATAGAATTTCTGGCACTTCTGCTATCAAAAAACTGTCTTGCATTTGTGCCAATTAATTACCAAACATTAAGCCCTTGGGCTTAAAGTGGGAGTGTCAACCCATAAGCCTTATATCAACCAATTACCTTTCTTGACAAAATGAGAAGTCAACTTGTCCTGTCATACTTATCTCATCCAAATGAAAAGTAGCCGTCAAGGTTGGAAGTAAAAGATGGCACAGATGGCAAGAGAGTGCCAGAGGCTCAGATCTATACACATATAAGGATGTTACGCAAAACAGAGTAATAACTTCCACCCACCAATTGAGGAGTTGGCAATTCTCACTGGGTCTGAGAGGAAGCTCTGCTTGCCCACAGCATGCATTCACACCCAGTGTGTGTCTGGAAGCAAGTACTACTTTGCTTAAAGACAGAAGTTGAGCTCTGTGAAACTGCAAACAATCTTGGCCTTTGGACAACTGAGGATCAGCCCTGCCGCCCATTCCTACTTTGCATGTGCATCCTCCAGAGTTCAGCACTTCCTGCAGTGAGATACCAAAGGTCCCCCAGAAGTAGCACCATTCTCTTCCAAAGTGCTGCCCTCTTTGCTGACATCTCACCAAGAGTATGGTAGAAAACTAAACACAGGAGATGATTGTACACCCTGGAGGAGAACACACCTCACAGATCCAACACTACTGCCTCAGGGCTAAGTGTCCAGAGCCGCCCCCAACACGAACATATAGTAACTATCCAAAGACCGGAATGAAATATAGCCAGGCTGCAGAAAGCCTTCATAAGTCCATAGACAAGTGACAAATGTCCAATGTGAATGGAGAGAGATTATAGATTCGTCTAACACAGGCTCCCTTTAGGAGTGGATCAACATGGTTGGCTTCCCTTGTGCCCTTGAGAGAGTTTACCAATAGCAGAAAAGTTATTCCAACCTAGCAGCCTATAGACCATCCCTGGGCCTACTCAATGAGCACAAAGGTGTCATGCAATTTAAATAAAAATGATACTGTGTCAGTTAGTTGACATAACGATGGCAAGGAGAGATGATCCATAACTCTATCAAGAGATGAAATTTAGAAATAAAATTTTAGAATATCTGACAAACTGGGTTATAGGAACACTCTGATACCCCTGAATCTGAGCCTTATTCTCTCAATCAGAGCATTATGGAATGCTGCTCTGTAGGCTGATCCACTACCTTAGCCAAAAACCTTCTAGGCTTCACTGCTTGGCTTCTCTTTTAAGTGCAAACTATAACCAACTTCGCTACACATAAAAATTCCCTTTCATACTCACCCCCCTGCAAAACTTCTGCAACTCACTTTAACCTTCTGGCAAAATCTAACCATTCAAAATTCTCTCTTATCCAAAAATGTTCTCCCTTCATATTCATCTTTCTTTTCGTCCCACTCATTTCCTTCCCTAAGTCAATGCCCTGAAATGCTTCCCACAAAAGTGGAGTCTAGACAAAATCACACTTCCTTCAACAAGTAAAAGTGTTTCATGCCATCCTATAGTTTTCTCCTCAAAACAAAGCCCAATTTTCCTCTATATGGAATCTTCAACCCAGGAAAGCAATCCGGAACTGTTCATACCTTCTAACAGAAATACTTGATTTTGCAGCAGTTGGCCTCTGGTCCACTGATGTCCTTTTGCTTTTAAGACAGCTTGATCCTACTGAGGAGTCAATGGGACAATGTAGTACATTTGCCTACCAGAGGGGCAGTTGTAACCACTGCTCCTAGACTTGGAGAAATAGGGTACCAGTCAGAGAGCATTTCTTAGTCTGTGACTAAGGACTTTTATTATTACTCTACATGCACAGAATTTCAAAGGGTAACAATAAGACTTCCGTATTTCAGACAAACCCAGTCACCCAGATGCAGCTGAAGCCAACCATTCCCAGAAAGGCCTTGAAGTGCTTCCATATGCCCCTTCAACTGATATGCATGCTAGAATTTAGGTAACAGGGGCTCAAAGTAAGGGCTACAAAACTTGATGACCTGTGTATTGCGTAAGCTAAACAAACAAGCCAACTCTCAGGAGAATTTTCTTAACAAATGTCCTAGTGTTCAAATGAAAATTTATATTTTTCTTTTGCCATGTGAATGGTTACCCAAGCCTCCTCCAGGGTAATGGTGATGTCTTCTGATTGTAGTGAAGCCTGGAAGACACTTGGACTTCCTCTGTCCAGGTGTCAACTTTCCCTTTCAAGACAGTACCTCTGATTCTGGGCTTCAATCCTTTCTAAGATGGTTGGGACATCCTCCTTTCCAATGACCCTCTTTTTGACTATACGCACATTGTTTTCTGTCCAATCTTTGCTGAGTGAAATGTTGAAGACCTTGGGAGTTACACTGAGCCAGTGATTGAATTAAAGTAGCCAAAAGCTGTGTCTTTTTCTCTAACTTCTTGTCCTTCTTTGTCTCTTCTGCCTGGCCCTGGTTATTATAGATTTTGAAAGCCTCCTCTGCCAAGGTCAACAGTGGGATTTAGGGTCTTATCTCAAGATTTTGTAACTTCCCCCTAATATCTAGAGTAGACTACATTATTAAATACATGGCCATTAGGGCTTTCCTTTCTTTTGACGATGGTTTGGTATTAACATACTTTCTGTAGGACTCCAACAAGCAATTTTAAAATACAGTAGAATTCACTTCCCTTTCTGTGTTATCTCTTTGACCCCGTCATACCTGACAGGCTTAACTAGACATCTTCCTATTCCTTCTGAAATACATTGGGTACTGTATCTATGAAATATTTGCCTAACCCAAAGTCACAAAAATTCTCTCCTAATGTTTTCTCCCAGAAATTTTACAGATTTTAGATTTCACATTTAGTTCTGTGATCCATTTTGAGTTATTTTTTGTACATGGTGTGAAGTATAGCTTGAGGATTATTTTTTGTATGGGGTGTGAGTTATCACATGAGGATTTCTTTTTACATATAGTGTGAAGTACAGCTCAAGGATTATGTTTTTGTGTATGCTGTGAGGTATGGGCTGAGGATTACTTTTTTAAAATTAATTTTATTGGTACATTTTAGGTATACAATTTAATGACATTCATCATTGGAAATGTGCACCTTTACATAATTTCTCTTGGTTCTTATTTTTTCCCCATTCCCCTGGCCCCCTTCAACCCCTCCAAAGCTTGAAAGCAGCCCAATTGTCCATCAACTGGAGACTGGATAAAGAAAAATGTGTTTTTTAAAAATAAAATGGAGCACTACTCAGCCATAAAGAATGAGAAACTAGAGACATTTATAGCTAAATGGATGCACATTGAGGCTATACTCTTAAGTGAAATAAATAGGGCACACATGTGTAAATACCAAATAGTTTCTCTAGTGTGAGAAACTGAAAGTGTAAATAAGGCCTAAAAGGTATAATAGATAATGTGAAATAGGAAGAAAAGGGGCAAAGGGGAAGGGGAAGTGGGAGGGGTAGGAGAAAGGAAAGAAGGGAATGGCATTAATATGAGAAGATGAAGGATTACTTTTTTTAATATGGTATAAGATATGGCATGAGGATTAGTTTTTTGTATATGGCCTCTAATCACCCCAGCACTACTTGTTGAAAAGTATCTTTCTTTTTTTTTTTACAGCATTGCCTCTCTACCATCGCCAAAAATAAGTTGTACATTTATATTTAAATTTATTTCTAGACTCACTATTCTGTTCCATTGATCTATGTATCCATATCAAGTAGTTTTAGTCTTCTGATTTTTAATTCTTTTTTTTTTTTTTTGGTAACGGGGATCGAACTCAGGATCTTGCACTTTTGAGGCAGGCGCGGTACCACTGAGCTAAATCCCTGGCCCCTGATTTTTAATTCTTTTTCAGAGTTATTTGGCTTTTTCAGGTCTTTAGCATTTCTGTATGAATGTTAGGGTCAACCTGTTGGTTTCTACAATAAACATCCTTGCAATTTAGATTAGAATTACATTGAATGCATAGATAAATTTGAGGAAAATTGACATCTAAACATCACCAAATCTTCTAAATCATGAAAAAAGTATAACTCTACATTGATTTGTCTTCTTTAATTCCTTTCTGTAATTTTTATGATTTTCAGTAAATACATCTTTTATATCTTCTGTCAGATTTTTTCCCAGTTTTTCATGGTTTGGGTGCCATTGTAAATGTTTTTATTTTAACTTCTGATTGCTCATTGTTAATATGTATTCATTTCAGTTAAATTGTTAAATTACACACCATAAAGTTGTTCATAATATTTACCTTTTATTATTATATATTATATTATCCTTTTAATGTCTATAGAACCTGGAGTTTTGCCACTTCTTTTGTTGCTGTATCTGACCTTTGGTAGGCATGAAACAGAATTATAAAGTTGTTTTAATGTCATTGTATGATAATTTTAGCAAAGGTTTCAGTCTCTACCAATTTAAATTGATTTTCCTCATTAAATCTCATTTTCCTGCTTCTTTGAAATCTTTGATTGGTTGCTAGAAATTATGAATTTTACCTCACGGGTATCAGACATCTTTTATTCTATAAATTAAATCTCTTTTGAACTTTGTTCTGGAATGCAGAGCAGTTACTTGGAAGCAGTCTGATCCTTTATAATTTGTCTGATGGGCCCAATCTCTGGGACCCTGAGGGAATACTTCACCACCCCTGGAAGGAACCCCCAACTCCAGTCACCCTAACAAACCCCTGGGTGGGAGCTAGGAGGAGGCCAGTGTAACAAGGTCTGCAGACTATGGGCTCACTTAGGGACTTGCTGAGCAAATGTGAAGGGGAGTCTGCAGTTCAGGAGAGGAGGCTGAGCCATGGTGCCCCAGGAAAGTGGGGAGCAGGGCACAAGCCCTGAAGGTGAGCAAGAAAGGCACTGAGATTGAATAGGTTAGTGTCCCACAACCCCCCACACTCACTCAAACACACACACTACACATATACTGTTGGGAGCAATGCTACATAATTCTAGGGAAAAATCATTTGGTTAGCCTAGTTCTCTTGCCTACAGCCAAGCTACAGAATAACTCCAGTTTGGCCTCCGGTCACAACTGAGACTTCAGTGATCCAGTGATGCTGTGATTCTCCAGGACAAGAAACATCCTGGGAGAACAAACATCTGCTCAGTTCCTCGTTGTTCTTGGACTGTTAACATCTTGTTTACCCGAGATATACTGAACTCTCTGCAAGCCTTCCGTTACACCTTGTTTATCCCAATGTGAACTACTGAAGTCTCTGCAAGTCATTTGTTACGAGGTACTGAATAAAAGGTGCGGTAAGCTGGGGGCTTTTGTCTTTGCTGCCAAGAGCAGCCCTGATCAGACCCAAAGCTCAGCTTCTTCTCAGTCTCATTTTTCTATCCTTCCTGTAATTCGCCGTGTGCTGCCGTGGCTCGCAAGAGACCAGGACTCACTGCAGAGGTTCTGGTAACATCCCCTTCCCCTGTTCCCTACAATAAATATACCCACACTTGCACAAATACAAACATACATAGTCACTAACACACAATCAAACACTCACGTACGCATTAAACACTCATGCCCTCACTAAAACACTCACTCAAACTCAGACTCGCATCTGCACTCATACACTCGGCTTTCCAGGGCCCTGTTCTCACCTTCAAAGCTTCTGGGAAGCCTCGACAGAAGACAGGTGGTGGCACTGTCCCCAAGGCAAGTGAGGAAACTGACGCTGGGGGGAGGGGCTTCCTGAGAGCTTGGCAGCCTTAGAGCTAGAGGTCAGCCCAGACACCCACACTTGACCAACACCTGCCCAGACCACAACAGGACCTGGACACACCAAGCACCTCTGTGCTCTGATGGGGACTGCTGTCTCTAGGAGAGGCCAGATGTAGGCAGTGGCTGGGCCAGGATACACGTTGGTCAGCAGAGACCAAGCCTGAGGGTGGAGCTTACAGAAGCCACGGCCCATTCACCTCTTCCAGGTCCAGGCCAGGCTGCTTGGTATGGCCCTAACTGTCCCTTTGATTCACTGCAATTTACTTTTAGCCACAGACTTGCCTTCTCTCTGTGTGGGCCTGTCCTGAGGAGGCTTGAGCCTGTGGCTGGGTCCCAGGGGTCACTGTTCCTTCCTTGCCCCCAGACAGGATAGAGTTAGAGGGTTACTCAGTGAATGAATGAATGAATGAATGGACTGGGGTGAGACCTTTGGGCCCTGGAGCCCCATGAGGGCCTGAGCCTGCAATCCCTCTGGTCCACTGAGTCCCACAGCTGCATGTGCAGGAGTCATGGGCCTGGACACCCAAGCATCTGGACAGGTTGGCAGGCCTAGCTGTGGTAGGAGATGCTGCTTCCTGGGCACACAGGCTCAGTGCTATGGCTCCCTGCCTTCTGTGAGTGTTGCCTGGACCAGGCCCTGCCAGGGTGTAGGAGCTCACGGTGAGGTGCAGAAGAGGGGAGGCCAGAAAGATCAGGTTACCAAGCTGGCCAAATTCTCTAGGTTCCCCAACCCTTGAGAAGATCGAGTCCCCTGTGCCTCAGGCCTGATGCAGCTGCTGAGTTCAGAATGCTCAGGGACTGAGGCTGTAGAGCTTAGGCAGGACAAAGTGAATCAGCCACCATGACCAATGTGCTCCTGTTCAGATCTGTGTGGGGCAAGAGAACTCTGCACCCCAACCTGGCTCCCTTCCTCAGGGTGCTCATAGGGAGGGACAACAGGTGCTGAGAGGGGATGGAGTCTTCTAGAATAGAGCCAGCAACTTTTAGGCATTAGGTAACCCCAGCTCTGGGGTCGTGTGGGCCCTGTCCCTTCCTGCCATGCAGGGCTCTGGGCACAGGGTCTCATCCACTGTGGGGTCTACACATGAAGGTCCAGAGCAGAACTCTGCTCAGTGGGGGAAGGAAGGGGCACACAGCATGCGTCCCACCCACCTGATGCATGAGTGACAGCAGGGGGAAGCCAGCTGCAGCCTCAGGGTTGGGTTCAGAGCAAATATTGTCTAAAACCAGCTCTGGGAAGCGCCTGTGGTAGTTGTGTATTTGTGTGTTGTGTGTGTTTCCTTTGGGAGCTGCTTCCTTGATTGTGGGCCCCAGCCAGCCTCCAGGTTGGGCAGCCTCTTGGGCCCCCATGCTTGTACCTCACATGTGGCTCTGGCTTGTGTTGGGACTGTCCATCTAAATGGCCCTATACCCATGCAGCAGGGCAGGTGTCCACCTGATGTCCCCTGAGGCTGGGTAGAGAGGGTGCTGGGCAGATCCGGCTGGGGGCTGAGTCCTCTGATGAGGGGCAGGTCAGATGGAGAAGCTGGTCTTGGAAACTTCAAAATGGCCCCTGGCCATTCTGCCTGTGGCTTGGTGTCCTCTGTGACATTCATGAGCAACCACCAGACCTGGCTCCTGCATGCAATGCACCGAGAAAAGGGACTTCGGGGAGGGACAAAGCAACAGGCCCTTCCCTCTGTGTACCCAGTTGTCCCCACCATCGGCTCAAGGGAGAGACAGGAAGGAGCAGGAAAAGACAGGGGCTCTGGTCTGGGTCAACTGTAGGACCCTCTCTCAGGGACCCTGCTATTCCCTAGGGTGCAGGGAGGGTGGGATTAGCTGGAGGGGCCACCCTGAGTCTCCACTCACCTGTTGTACTGATGAGGGGTTCAGCAGCCCAGGCACTTAGGGGTGGCCAGTTATCAGTGAAACAGACCTGGGCTTTGGGCTCTCATCTTTAGGTGGGAGGGGCTGAGGCAGAGTAGGCACAGCCACAGCATACTGAAGCAGCTCTGTGGACAAGCAGAGCCCCCTGCACAGGACTGTGTTGGAAGGGCAGAGGTCGTGAGCTCCCTGTGGCTGGTGTGGGTCAAGCAGACATCAGTTGAGGATGCCTGGTGGTGCCTTCAGGGGGTACCTGGGACCGGAAGAAATACTGTCCACAGCACTGGGGTCAGCAATGTCCTCAGTCCTCTATAAGTTGTCCTGATTCAGCGGCAGCCCACAGCTGTGCCTTTGTTGGCCCCATCCTACCCTCACCCCCCAAAAGGGCTTCCCTGAGCACCATTTGTTGATTGACTACTGAGTACCCTTTGACTTCTAGGCCATTGGCAACCCCTCCCTTGCAGGCACCTCCCAGAAAGCAAAGACTCCAGGTCCCACATGTACTGGTGGTAAGTTTCTCTCCCAAAGCAGAAATGCCTCAGAAAGTTTGGATTTTCTTTCTAAGTATTTTTCCATGAGGTGTCAGTATGTCTTTAGCTAATCTGCTCACAGGAGTCTAAGCTGGCTACCCAGGACGGGCAGCAGAGGAAGCCAGGAGAGGATCCTTGGCTCCCAGAGAGCTCAGATGGCCGCGGTCCTAGGTTACCTTTTTATTTGCACCACCCACAGTGGGAAGTGACCTGTGGTCCTGGGCCTGGGATCAGTGTGCCCTCCAGTGTCTCCACCATCAGAACACCAGAACTGTGTACAACCATCTGAGCTGGCTCAACACCCAGGAAACATACGAGGGCAGCAGGGTCTTCTGGGAGGCAACCTCAGCAGACCTGGTCACAGAGAAGTGGCCCCAGGAAGCCAGAAGGAAGGGGTGGACAGCCAGCCCTATCCCCATGGTGAGGGCAGCACTGGGCCGTAGTGACTGGCACTCTGTACCAGCTGTGGTAACAGTCATGACACCGCAGACTGTCAGGCTCTGTGAGTCTCTTGGGGGCATCCAGTGCTGGGCCATTTGCTTTCCCAAGAGGAGCCCTGGAGCTTCAGGCCCCAGCCCTGGGGAGGTCTGGAGGATCACAGAGCCTCTGCCTATCCCAGGGTGGTCAGATTGTGATCCCTACACTCCTGTGCCCAGCCACAGATGACAGTCAGGGGCATGGTGCCCTGGGACTCTAATCTTAGGCCAGCTGGGGTGATGGCAATCAGGGTTCGTCCAGGAAATGTGGCTCAGGGGTAGAGTACTTAGCATGTGTGAGGCCCTGGGTTTGATCCCCAGTACTGGCAATAAAACCAAATTACCAAAAAACCTGGAGTGACCATTTGACCCAGCTGTTCCACTCCCAGGTATATGTCTAAGAGGAACAGACACTTGTAAGCGCATTGACAGTCATCCTGGATATCCACAGTATGCTGGCTGCTATAGCCCCCAAGTAAGAAGAATCTACACGTCCACCAAGTGATGAATGGGTAACTCAAATGTAGTCTATCCATTCAATGGAATATTACTCAGCCATAAAAAGGAAGAGTTCTTACAATATGGGTGGATACCATGCTCAGTAAATGATCTAGTCACTTAAAAACAAATCTTGCAACATTTCTACTCATAGGAGTCCCTGGAGTGGTCAGGTCCATAGAGTTGGAAAGTAGGATGGTGGCACCAGGGGGCTGGAGAGAATAGGAGTCAATATTTAATTGGAACAGAGTTACAGTTTGGGAGATGAGAAAGTTCTGGTGGTGATGACTGCCCAACAATGTGAATGTGTTTAATGCCCCTGAACTGTAATAAATTTTATGTCATGTATATCTTACCACAATTTAAAAAAAGACTAAATCCACTTTGTCTTAATGTATTTTTAGATTATCATGGAGATATTTGGCCCTGATTGGGTCACTCAGTTTGTGCAGTTAGAAAAGCTT